AGTTTTCTCAACTTATATATATATATATATATATATATATATATTATTGAATTTAAAATAATGATTGTAATAATGTTTTTTTGACCTTAAAAATACGTCAAAACAACATTATTACGTCATTATTTTTGCACCAACCTAATATATATGTACTAGCAATTAAGCTAGCTTCTGCAGATGGCTCTTGATTGAGTCTTCTTATTCAGGAGTCTCTAAGTCTTTGCATATTCCCAGCATTTTAACCTCCTCTGGCTGCCGTTTGATGTGGGTTTTCATTTGCATGGGACTTTCTTTTCCTCACCGCATCCTTGGTTCTTTTGATTGAAATATGATCCTCTGTTGTCAGAGATTTATTTTTGCAAGGCATACTGCTGCAGTATGCGATATGCAACAGTAAACTACAGAAGAACTCAAAATTGATCGCTGCATTTAAGTATTGCATTGATACTTAAGCTTACCTTTTAAAATTTCAATGATGATTCTTCTGCCACCACTTAATTTAATGACAATTTGATGTGCGTAGGTCCTTACTTTCCATACAAACAGTTATTTTTATTTCATGGGTGACTTTCGCTGGATTTCGAATTAATTTCAGTTATTCCAAAATTTATTTCCAAGTTATAAAAATTATTATCGTACAAAAAAATTGGCACAAAAAACATATAAAAAAAAATTGGCACAAGCAATCACAGTAATGAAAACTTGAGAATCCAAAACTTTATGATTGCTGGTCTGGATCTGGCCATGAATATCTGTAATTAGCCCATGAAGTTGACCTGATTCCAAAATGGTATGATATGTTGGGCTACAGCCTCTAGGAGTAAAGTTGAAAAAGTGTGACACACTGACATTCACATTGACACACACACACACACACACATATATATATATATAAATATTTTATTATAATAAAAAATATATATTTTATTATAATAAAAAAAGAGAACATAATTTAAGTATAAATATAAGTTTTTGAAACAATGTTATTATTGTGTAGCGAAGAAACAATATTTTAAATCAGTTAATTTATAGTATCTATATATATATGTGTGTGTGTGTGTGTGTGTGTGTGTGTGTGTGTGTAGAGGAAAAAGTGTGCAAAAAGTGAAGAAAAGAAATAATCTCCAAACAAAGCTTGACAAATTTAAATAATCTTATTACTGAGTATAAAAATAATCTTTCTTTTAAGCTGAAATTTGATTCTTAGCCTTGTGTTTAGAAAAATAAATGCAAGCAAAGTTCGTACTAAATAGAGTAATAAAGAGTTTAGAAGTTTCGAAAATTCTATTCTACATTCAAAACCATCACTTGATAAGACACCAGAAGTGATGAAACAAAATGACTATTTTTTTAGTGATTTTATTACATATTTATGTTATAATTTTCGAATAAATTATATTTGCTCTACTCTGTATTAAGCACTCTTTTAAGAATAGTATTTTTTGGTTATTTTAAATCTTATATATATATATATATATATATATATATATATATATAAAATATATATACATTGATGTCAGGCCTAACAATTGCATTTAGCATTAAACAGTCTGTCACCTCTGGGTGTTAACTTCAATGTCCACTTTTATATTTACATACAATCTATTCCTGAAAATGAACATTTTTACCTATAAATATAGCATACCTTAAAACTGTATTTTATCACATATATATATATATATATATATATATATATATATATATATATATATATGGCATGGTGGAGTAATGGTTATCGGCTTGGATTGAGGAATCAGAGAGCCGAGTTTGAATTCCAGTCAAATCCATTATATTCACTTATGTGCTAATACACTTGGGACTACAGACTGGGTTCTATAGCCTTGGGTGGCAACTGGTCTAGGAGAAGGACAACACTGAATTCAAAACCTGCGGAGGGTTGTTTGGGGACCTTGTGGCACTTAGTGCACCAGGTCTCTGTATTCAGCCCTCCAAAAAGTGAGGATGGTCCTGCATGAAACCTTCACCACTATAATCAATTCTCATGTGCTGTTGTCGGGCTGTCAGATTCCTGGGAACTGATCTGCTTGACCCTGACGTCGAATTCAACGGGAGAGGAGTAAGTATATATATATATATATATATATATATATATATATATATATATATATATATATATATACAGAGAGAGAGAGGAGAGAGAGAGAGAGAGAGAGAATGTCTGGACTCTTACGTAACTTTCATGATAGTGTGATCGTCAGGCAACCAGAGACATTCTTGTCCCCCGAAATTACGGTAGCATGAAACTCGAGTTGCATTCTGAATTTTGATGCTCGGAAGCATAATTGCTGTCTTTGTAACTTAGACATAGAGCACTCTTTGTTACTCCTTAGGGAGGTCTGCGTCTTTTTGCTTTTTTGTTTTTATTGTCAGCTTATGTTTCATTTTCTCTTTTTCTTGGTTTTTGTTTTTTGATTGTTCTTTTTTATTAACTTTTTCTTTGATCTTCTGACAGGCTTTCTGTTGGTTTTATCAATTCTTTGAGTTTTTGTGATCTCTCTCTCTTTATATATATATATATATATTCAAAAATTATAACTTAAAAATGTTATAAAATCACTACAAAAATAGCCATTTTGTTTCAACACTTCTGGTGTCTTATCAAGTGATGTTGAATGTAGAATAAAGGGTTTTATATATTTTATATATATATATAGTATATATATTTTATATTTATATAAATATGTATATGTTTTATATTTATATTTATATAAATATATATATATATTTATATAAATATATATATTTTTATATTTATATTTTATATATATAGTATATATATATTATATATATATATTGTATATAGTATATATTATATATATTTTATATATATATAGTATAGTATATAGTGTCTTATCAAGTGATGGTGTTGAATGTAGAATAAAGGGTTTTATATATTTTATATATATATATTAAAAGTATAATATCGGTATATAATCAAAGTGGGTCCTAGTAAAATAAAATTATTATTATTAAAATCAATCCACAAAAGAGAGCTAAATGTATCTTATTTATACGGAGCAATATGAATGAATAATCCAAAAAAATCTTTTTAGCTTATGTGGGGAATAGTCGATTTTGCCAGATGACAAAAATGGCCATCTGTCTTTTCAACCCCGTGCTTCTAATATCACTTCCTTGCAGTTAACTCCTACTTACTGCTTCCTCAAGCTCTATGGTTGTGAACTTCATTCCACATCGTCAGTTGAAAAGATAGATTACCACTTTCCTCATCTGCCGAAATAGACTATTCCCTATATGAGATAAAAAGACATTTTAATTATTCATTATATATATATATATATATATATATATATATATATATATATATATATATATATATATATTTATCAAAAAGTGTAGTTGGTTCTGCACAAAGCCTTCACCATAATAATCAAATCATATGTGCTCGTGTCTGGGTTGTCAGTTCCTAGGAACTGAGCTGTTTGTTTGTCCCTCATGTGTCAAATACGACAGGAGAGTCAATTATATATATGCAATCTGAATTTTCGATTTTATGAAATATATTGCTTTGTTTATCATAAAAACATTGAGCTCTATGTGTGAATCAGTTTTAATATTTAATATTCAATATTTTATATTTTATATTGTGTTAATAGGATTCACTTGGATTATATACCAACAGACTATTACCAGTGCCTACTGTGTTTGGAAAAGAAAACATTCCTAAAACTCCAGATACATATATAACACAACCCATGCATTTAGCTAAAAGTAAAAATAAAATCATCCTTGATAATGGCTAAAAGTATAGCTGAAAGTGCTTGAACATGGAGAACTTTTGGAAAGTTTTTACCCATATTGTGTTCAGAAAAGAGAACACTTGCATCGATACAAGAAAAATGAAATAGAAAGCTTAACTGCAGTACCATGTTAGTCATTTCTAACAAAAGATATATATATATATAAAAGTGAATACTGAAATCAACACTCAGTGGCGACTGGCTGTTTCATACTGGACACAATCGTCAGGCCGCAAATTTATATTTATTTATATTTTACATACACTCTATCTCTGATATTGAGCACTTTATCCCATACCTTAAAACTATTTTCTATATATATATATATATATATATATATATATATATATATATATATATATATATATATATACATGTACAGAGAGAGGGAGAGAGAGAGAGAAATATATGTTGAACTTTCCTGTTGATTTCAACATATGAGAGCTCAACAGTTCAGTTTAGAACTGATCTGTTAGATAATATTTGAATATGAGGTGAAGATTGTGTAGCTCAAGCCTCACTTTTCAAAAGAATTAATAACAAACAACTTTGACCTCCCAAAATTCAAACGCAATATCAACCATTATCTGCTGTCTTCTTAATTTCTATTCTTTTATTGTCCTCTCTCCTTAATAATGTTTCCTTTTTCACATATTCTCTCACACTCAGTAACCCCATTGCATCCGAGTCATGTTATTGCCTTGCTTGGGGTGAAATGATTAAAATAAAATAACAAAGAAATGGTGTAGAATCGGCCATTGAAGTCTGCAAACAGTTTGGATTTTCCTTTTCAAAGACTATTACCCAAGGCAAGAGTGCTGAATATGCTATACTATTTAACCCATAACTGGAGGAAAATGGATTCATACCTTTTCCAAAGGCATTAGTGCAAAGTGATGGAAATGGAATCACTAATAGAATTAACCGATTTTACTTTATATGCTGATAACCATTATGTAAGTCACAAAGAAACGATGAAAAAAAGAAACAATGAAAAAAGAAACAATAAAATAAGAAAAGAAAGAGGGAAAGGAAAGACAAGAAAATAAACAAAATTAAATGGGCCGAAAGAAAAGGGGAAAAGAAATGAAAAGAAAAAAGAAAGAAAATAAGAAAGAAACAATGATAAAAGAAAAAAAAGAAAAAGAAAAGAAATAAGAAAGATAGAAAAAATGATTAGATAAAAAAATAAGGAAAAAGAAAGACAAAAAATTAAACAGATTAAAATGGAGGGGGGTAAAAAACAAAGAAGAAGAGAAGAAAGAAGAAAAAGAAAAAGAGATGAAAAGAAAAGAAAAAGAGGAGAAAATAAAAGAAAGAAGAAAAAGAGAAGAAAAGAAGAGAAGAGAAAAAGAAAACGAGAAGAAAAAAGAAAGAAAAAGAGAACAAAAGAAAAAAGAAAAAGAAAAGAATAGAAGAGAAAAAGAAAAAGAAAAAGAAAACGAGAAGAAAAAAGAGAAGAAAAGAAAAGAAAAAGAGAAGAAAAGAAAAGAAAGAAGAAAGAGAGAAGAAAAGAATAGAAGAGAAAAAGAAAACGAGAAGAAAAAAGAGAAGAAAAGAAAAAGAAAAAAGAGAAGAAAAAAGAAAGAAAAGAAAAAAGAAAAGTAATAAAAGATAAGAAAAACAAAGTAAAAAAAGTAAAAAAAAAAAAGAAATGCACAAAAAGAAAAGCTCAAGATAAAGTAAAAAAAGGAAAGAAAAAATTATTCTGACTCGTGGAGTAGTGGGAAACAATTCATGGCCATTGATTGTTTAATAGATTCTTTTAAGTCAAATACACAACTGAGAATTGTGCCATGTATTTTCCCATTGAAGGGATCCATTGTTATCAACAAACAACCCATTAGTGAGTAGAAATAGCTTCTCCTTTCACAAACTGGTTCATCTCAATTTAATAAATTGATATCAGGATTACATACTGTGGCGTAACAATTAACAAATTACTCTAAGAGAGAAATTTATCAGCAGATGCAATTCTATTCTGGCATTGTTTGACGAAATATTCCCAGAGTGTACCCCATGGCCTTGGATCAAACTAGGACCACCATAGCATGACACCAGAGTGGTCAGTGATTGGCTCGAATGTCTTGTGGGTATCATATTTTGACAGTATGGGATTACCTTTGTCTGAGTTTTGGATGTAAGTTCAAAATGGCACAAATTCCAAAGAGGACAGCAAGAATTCTGAAGCAACGATACGTTTCCCATACCCTGTTTTGAGAGACCGATTAAGACCACACTTGGAGGGATGCTCAGCCAATGTATGACATGCATTCCCATGATGTTCCTCCTATCTCTTAGAATTCTAGTTGCCACATCTGTCCTTAGGCTTATATTAGACTGCAACCTAGGGTTCCTCAAGTTTTTATAAAGTAACAATTTTAAATTTCTAGACATAACTTCTAAATAGTTTCATAAACTGAAATCATATCAATATGATTGACTCATATTTATTTGACTTTGAAGGAAGCAAAGCAAGGATAAGAATGTTTTAGTTTCTCATTTTGTTTCAAGGAGATAATATGTTTGATTTTAGTTCAGAATGTTTAAATCTTAGAAATGTTTATAAAGAAGTAATTTTAATTTCCTAGCTAGAAATGTTTATCGCTATGACTTGACTCAAAATATTTTTGCACTTCCTTGCCTTTAAAGAAGTGCCCTTTGCCATGCTGATGTTGCTACATGCCTTACTTCTTGCCTATCTCACACTGCAAATTTTTTCTAAGCTCTATACTAAACATTAAATCTGTTACGAAAAAAGAACTAAACAAAATGAACATAAAACGATCAGCTTTAAAAAAGGACTCGTAACTGGAAAAACCGAATGAAAAAAGAATGTTAACAACAAATAATTTTTCCCACCCTGGGTTGGGTGTGAAAAATTATTTTTTTCTGCAGAATCAGAATCAAGCGAATGAGCCAATTGGAGTAAAGTGCCATGCAGATTTAAATTTTTCCCACTTGTGACGAATGCAGCTATCGATTTTTTTTTGCATGCTAGCATGCTAGTTAACATTCGTGTCAGTCAGCTGTTGGCTCTCACGCTGGCCAATAAAATCTTCCTGCCTATTCGTGGCAGCCAGCTATTGGCTCTCACTCTGACCAGTACAAAATGGCTGCAAACTACATTGAAAACTGCCGTAGAAGCATGAAAAAATCAATTATTTCCAATGTCGATGCGAGTTGGGAAATTCAAAGTCGGTCTTGGCCTTCCCACTAACTTGGAGTATGTGCATGTAAATTTTGGTGCAAATCTGTCGAAAATTGCGGCCGTGCATTTGTTACAAACACACAAGCACATCCTGCCTTTTATAGATAGAGATTTACAATGAGTTTATTCAAGCTGTGTAAATGCCGTTAAAATATAGCACAAGTAAAAAAATATTCAAAACAAGTGTTAAACAAGTTAGTGTCTGGCTTGGTGTAAGTGTTGGAGTGGGGTCAGCCCAGGGACCCCCAAAAGATCATAATCCAGTCCTGGTGTCAGGCATGGCATCCTTATGAAAGTCTCAATCAGACAGGGCTATTCAAGAACATGACTCGAGTTTTGAGATTAATGATTTGGTCTTAGGGATTTCAGTTCTCACAGTGTCTCCCCTTGGCCTTGTGCCAGACCAATCTAAACTTATGAAATATTGATAAAGCAAAAATCAATGCTATTATAATGTGGGGAGTTTAACAACAGCAGAAAAGAATGAAGTTGGCTAGAATGTAACCAACGTCTGTTTATATTTGCCTTCCCTGGTACATATGCTGTGTCCCTTCAGGACCTGGGCGATCATGTGCCTCCACATCTCCCTCTACTCTTGGTTTGTGTTTTGCCATCAAAATCAAACAAGTACAATGATTTAAATATCTGGGAAGTGATTTAACAGAAGATAGACTGCATGACACTGAAATCTGAAGGTACTTAGGGGTAGCGAAAGACGCCTTCCGAAAGCTAAGCAAAGTATTAAAAAAAAGGAAAATTTCATTAGAATCAAAGAAAAAACCTGAGGCAACAAAAATATGCTTCTTCAGAAGGATGCTGAGAATACCATGGACTGAACATGTGATCAACGAGGAAGTTCTAGAGACAATGGAAATAAAAAAAAAGAGACTTATACTTGACATCAAAAAGAGACAGTTTAAATTCCTAGGGCACATAATAAGGAAAGAAGGCTTAGAAAATTTGACACTCACAGGACATATTGAAGGGAAAACAGGACATACCCTACCTAATGAGCTTGTGAAAATGAATGGCAGAACAGGATTTAGGAAAAGTAGCAAAAAAGACAAAATTTACTAAGAGTCGGATCTTTCTGTCTTTTTTACAAATACTTTCATGGTAATTGCTCCGAGGAGCTGCTTTCACTGGTTCCCAGACTTCAGCGAGGCTGGCATCTCGCTCTCACCCTTTCACTATAGAAACTTTTAAATGTAGCCGTCCCTTCTACTCCAATAGCTTCATACCTCGCACCTCTCGCCTGTGGAACACCCTTCCCTATTCCAGTTTCCCTGAGAGCTATAATCTTCAACTATTCAAATGTAATGTAAATCGACATCTCCAGTTACCTTGATCTATCCACTATCCTTCTCCTAATCCTTTCTTCTATCACTCCTATCTGCTCTCGCTCCAAATCTTCTGCAACCCCCCTGCATCCTAGTGGCTTCACGTCTTGCTCGGGGCGTAATGCTTAAAAAAAAAAAATACTGTTCAATACACTATTTATCTGCAACGCCTTGTTTGGTTATTTCTTAATCATTAACTAAGTCACAATAGTAAATAATAAGAATTTCTTTATAGTTTGTTCACATATTTTAATAATTTAGTAAATGTTTATGAATTTATGAATAAAAATTTCTTTTCATAGTTAGAGAATATGAGAAAAATACTATAGAGGCACAAGAAAAATAAAAGAAGAGGGATCAAGAAGACAGAAGATAATGATTGATATTGTGTTTAAATTACACAATGAAATAAACAAATCACAAGTCCAAACTTAAATATCCAGAAGCAGACTGAAATGTTGAAATCATGAATTACAGGTCTAAAGTCACAAATCCCAAATCCAAGGAGAGAAGGTAGTTAAAATAATAGTGGTGTCAAGGGAAAATTTGTTCTTTTGACACACTACTTACTGGCTTCATTCAGCGGAAAGGTTTTTTTTTATATTACCATAATGCAATACGGGAGAATTTTGACTTTTAAGTCACTGTTTTCTTCTGTACAGATTGCCAGATTAAATTTAAATGCTAGATGAGCCAATGGAAAAAAAGGTAATCATTAACTTTTGCACTCAGAAAAAAAATAGAGTGTCAAAAGGGCAGTTTTTCTCGTGATACCGCTATTATTTTAACTACCTTCACTCCTCAGTAATGTTTATTCTTTTAAAAAGTGATGATTAGAACTGTGATAAAACCTCAACATATGAAAGTGAATTTATACAATTTCTTTGTTCTTGAGAACTGACAACGAAAATAATAAACACTATTTATTTAATATATTGTTTATTGGAATGGTTGGCAAAACATCAGCTAATTGCTAATTGATTCAAACTTTATAAAATGGTAAATAATAAGGATTTACTTATAATTGGTTCACATATTTTAATAATTTGGTAAATGTTTATAAATTTATGAATAAAAAATTGTTTTTATATTTATTTCTTTATAAATTGGTAAATGATAAATATTGCATTATTTTTAATTGTATTAGCTTTTAGAATGTTGTAAATATAAAATTATTCTTGGAAATAAACAATCTATAAATAGTGTTTATACTTTTTGTTATAAATTCTCAAGAATGAAAAATGTATGAATTTACTTTCATATGTTTAAGTTTTATTACAATTCTAATAAGTGCTTTTTAAAACAATAAACACTGCTGAGGAGTGAGGGTAGTTAAAATAATAGTGGTGTCAAGGGAAAAACCGTCCTTTCGACACTCCATTTTTTTTCAGGCATGAAGGTTAAAAATTGTTAAACAATTATTACTTGGTTTTAATGCCACTGGTTTTATTTGATTTTTTTAAATTTTTTCACAAGCAAGGCAATAAAGGCACTAAGATGTCAGAGGTTACTGAGTGTTAGAGAATATGAGAAAAATACTATAGAGGCACAAGAAAAATAAAAGAAGAGGGATCAAGAAGACAGAAGATAATGATTGATATTGTGTTTAAATTACACAATGAAATAAACAAATCACAAGTCCAAACTTGAATATCCAGAAGCAGACTGAAATGTTGAAATCATGAATTACAGGTCTAAAGTCACAAATCCCAAATCCAAGGAGAGAAGGTAGTTAATATAATAGTGGTGTCAAGGGAAAAACTGTCCTTTCGACACACTGTTTTTTGCAAGATTAAAGATTAAAAATTGCTAAACAATTATGTCCAAAAAATTGATACGACAGTTCAATTCTACAATGAAATAAACAAATCGCGTCCAAACTCGAATATCCAGGGACAGAAAAAAATGTTGAAATCATAAATCACAGGTTTAAAGTCACATATCCCAAATCCAAGGAGAGAAGGTAGTTAAAATAATAGTGGTGTCAAGGTAAAAACCACCTTTTGACACACTGTTTTTTTTTTTTTGCGAGCAGGAAGGTTAAATATTGCCAGAAGAAAAAAGTTTAACCTTATTTAAATTACTCATGTCACCTGAATTCATTCAATTAGAACAGATCCCAAGTATTTTCCCACACACAAAAATAGATAAGAGCATGGAGCTGTTTAACTGCACATTACATTACTAGGTCCGAGAATATCAATGTAGATCAAGTAATATGCCTTTCTCTTGTCGAATGGACAGAAGAAACACTCGACTGAAAGGGACTAATGTCAATAATTAACAAATCAAACCAAAGTTGCTGCCCGTTATGGGGATTGTTGTGCAGAGACGAAAATTTGGCTAATGGCACACAGAGATGACTACGACAACTAAGCTTGTTGGGTGGAGAAAGATTATAAAGAAAGGCGGTTGCTCGCTACTGTTTTGTGTCAGGTAATATAGACTTAGGAAACAGGGAAATGAATTTGATTATTTAGTCAATTGGAGATTGATTTAAAAATATTTAATTTAAAAAAAATATATTGCAAATAAATTTAGTAAACATTTGTTGGCGAAAATGGTGGAATGGAAAAGCTCCAAGAAACAGTTTTAAGAAATTACACAGTCGAAAGAAAGATGAGGAATTGACTGTAAGAAAGAAAGAAAGAAAGAGTGAGAGGAAGTGAAAAGACAAAAAGAAAAAAAGGAAAATTATGAAGGAGAGAAAGAAAGCGAATAAAAATGAAAGGTTGGAGAAAAGGAGAAAGAGAAAGAGAAAATTAAGTTATTAAGAAGAAGAGAAAAAGGGAAAAATATTTAATGAGAGGAGGGGAAAGAAAAATTTTGAAAAAGTGAAGGAAAAAAGAAAAACTAAAATTTTAAAAAAGGAAAGAAAGATGGTGGCTAAAATGAAAGTTGGCAGAATAGGAGAGGAAGATAAAAAGAAAGAGTAACATTTTTAAAGAAAGGAGGGAAAGAAGGTGAAAAAATGGGAGGAGAAGGAAGAGGAGAAGGAAGAGGAGAAGGCACTAAAAAGAAGAAAGAGAATGAGTAAAATTTTGGGGAAGGAGAGAAAGAAAGTGAAAGATTAAAATGAGAGGAGAAGGAGGAGGAAGGGAAATAAAAAAGAAAAAGATTACGGTATGAGGAAGGAAAGAAAGAAGGTGAAAATGAAATCTGAAAAAGAGAAAAAGAGAGAAAGAGAAAAAGAGAAAAAGAGAGAAAGAGAAAAAGAGAAAAAGAGAGAAAGAGAAAGAGAGTAAGCAATGAGGAAGGAGATAAAAATATTAAATCAGAGGGAAGATTAAAAGGAGGGGAAAATAATAATAAGAAGAGTCTACTGAGAGTAAACATAAAATGCTTTGCTCATAAATTCTCTTCCAATTGTACTCTTGACTCATCAGGGGTATATTTGCCTGACTTTCCAATTAGTACTGAGTCCTACTGTGTGATATGCCTATAACTTCATTCTTTTTACTATCATCTCTTAATAGGATCCCCACAAAGCATGCAGACTTGATGGTATCCCTGCAATAGCCCTAAAGAAATGTGCTCTTGAACTGGCTCCTGTTCTCTCTAAACTCTGTAATAAATGCCTTACTGTTTTTTGCTTGTTGGAAATTCTATTTCTTGTATTTCTAGCCTTTAAGAATAGAGACAGATCCTTTAATCCTTCTATCAGTTTGTTAACTTTCTACCACTTTTTCGCAATGGTTCTAATCGACTTGTAATTGGTTAAGCATCTCAAATAAGCCCGACAAAGCTTGGGTCATGATTTTAGATATCTCAAAAGCATTTAACAGGTTTTGGTATGCTTATCTTCTTCAAAAGCTGAAGAGCTATAGTGTCTTCGGCTAAAATTTTTATTTGATCCAATCTTTTTTAATAAATTGTCTCATGATAGTTGTATGGAACAGTTAATTTTCTAGAGCCTTTAACATATTTACAAGAGGTTCTCCTGGGTTTACATTGTTCCTAATTTTCATCAACAACGTTCCTGGTGCCAACAGTTCTCAACCTTGTATCTATATGGATATGCAACTATCAACTTCTGTCTTAATAGTAAGTTTGATATATCCAAATAGTAGTTGTTCGAATCAGTTATTAACTAAGGCAAACCCTACCCCTCCTCTAATATTTCTGGTATCATTTCTTAATAGGGTCTCCACAAAACATATGGATGGACTTCAAGGCATCCCTGCAATAGTCCTAAAGAAATATGCTCCTGAACTGGTTTCTTCTCTCTCTAAACTCTACAATAAATCCCATGCTGCTTCTTGCTTTCCAGCCTCTTCTGTAGTGCCTGTTTTTAAGAACTTAAGCAAACCATCTGATCTTTCTGTCGACTGATTAGCCTTCTACCTCTTTTTGGCCAAGTCCTAGAGGCTCTAATCAACTTTGAATTGGTTAAGCACCTCACCTTGCAATAGGTTCTTTCAGACAAACAGTATGGTTTTCATTTCTTGAGGTCTACCACTGATAAATTAATGGTTATTGCTGAAAGAGTTCTATCAACCTTTAGATGGGAATGGTAAAGCTTGGGATGTTGCTTTGGATATCTTGAAGTAATTTGACAGGATTTAGCACATGTTGAAAGGTTATAGTATTACTTGACAAATTTTATTCAATCATTCTTATCAAATTGCGAAATGAAAGTTATCTTGAATGGCCACTTTCTAGATCTTTCTACATTAATTCATTAAAGGGCTCTATCCATTAATCCTTATTTTTACTTTTCCTCAGTGACCTTTCCAATGTCATGTTATTGATTTGGTGTCTATACTGAGGGAATAACTATTTATTCCTGTCTTTGTAGCAAGCTTGACAAGTTTAATATCATCAAATTGGCAGCTGATTACAGAAAATAACCTACGAAAATAACTCAAGTTTAACACCTTCAAATGAAACTGTTCTCTTTTAATTGCCTTAGAAAAAACCTTTTTAAACTTCTGTCAGCATGGCTGATGCTAACCTCCAGGTGAGTGAGTCATTGCACTGTCTACGGCTAATGTTTTATACTGGCATGAATCAGAAAAGATTATATTGAATCAATTACTAGGTCAGCTGCTCGTAAATTTGGTTTGCCGTGTCATGGTAGATAGTTTTTCTTGCCAGAATCTATTTTAACTTTTTATAATTCTACCATTCATCCATGAATAGAATATTGCTGTCACATGTGGTCTGGTGCTTCTGCTATGTAGCTAGAGATTCTTGATAAAATCCAAAGAAGAATCTGCAATGTTATCAGTGCTGACATGGCATCTTGGCTTTAGTCACTTTTGCATCGTCGTAACATGGCTTCCCTCTGCCTTTTCTATAAATATTTTCATCGTAATCATTCTGATGATCTATTCACTTTGGTATCAAGACTTTATGAATTTAAACGTGCTACTAGATTGGTGGAAAGGTCTCATCATTTTACAGTTGAAATGGCTAGATGTAATCATAAGTTCTATGCTAACAGTTTCTTTTCTTGCACTTCTCACTTGTGGAACTCTTTTCTGGTTTTTTGGCTTCTCAGCTAAATTTGATATTCAAAAATTTAAATGCAATGTTAATCATTACCTGTTTCCTTGATTCCTCTTCTTTAATTGTCCTATCTTCTTAACTATATATATTCTTAGATTTTCTTGAACTCAGTAACTTGTTCTCCCTTAGTAGATTTATTGCCTTGGTTTGGTTTGTTTTACGGCATATCAACTTCAATGGGTTATTTAATGCCAACAAAATATTTTAATTGCTGGTAATGTTTTTCTTCTAAAATCCATTTCTGGGAATATTTTTCCGTTAAAAAAAATCTATATCTGGTCACTTTTTTTTCCTAAGAATATATAGCTGTTTGTACTGCTGATAATAATTTTTGCTTCAAAAATAATGGTAATAATTTTTTTTTTATTACACGTTATTTCTGGTATTAAAATCTATTTTTACACAAGTTTGGGTGTTAACTATTTGCCCAAAGCTGGGACCCTAAGAAGTACTACCACCCCGGGTCAGGGTGGATCTGGGAACACTATCAATTAAGAGGTGGTTCCACGCTCCTCAAAACCTCCTGATCAGAGGCCTTGCTGTTGGACGTAGTTTATCGTCTTACCCAGGACACAAATGTAGTTTAGCATAATACCCAGGACGGCTTTATTGCTTTGCTTGGGGTGAGATGATTAAAAAACAAAAAAAGTTCTACGTGCAAAGTGTTTTATTTGGTATAAAAATTCATTTGATATTAATCTGTGGTTCATATAACATCAGGACAACCTTCAAAAGCTGGACAACACTTCGCAGATACCTCTTCTGAGTAAGACCCCCCCATAGAGGAAAACATGACTAAAGACTGTGTGTATGCTATCCCGTGCAGCTGTGGAAAGAAATATAAAGGGGAAATGGGCCGCCCACTTAAGGTAAGGCTTCAAGAACACTAGAAAGCTGTAACACGAGGGGAAGTGGAAAAATCAGGCATGGCTGACCACATATGGAGAGAGAAGGGAAATCAATGCCCTCTGTGGGATCAGGTTGAAATCATAGACAAAGAACATCGTTGGGAAATTCGTAAACTTAAGGAATCAGCACATATGCCAGGCCACAAAAATCTCCTGAGCCGACTAAGCAAAGAAATGAATACAATATGGGAACCAGTAATAAGGAGTGCCAGAGAAAAGCAATAATAACAGCAGAAATTGCAATATGAGCACTGGTAAAAAATTATGCTGAAGACATTAGGTTTATAATACTCAGAAATTCATACACAGATGCCCTCAAGGACACATAGCACAATGGATAAATGCGTTATTTATATCCAGTGACAGGACCCAAAGAGTCTGAATTCAATACCTGCTTAAGGCTGTGGAGAACTTGGAATTAACAGGAGATAACTGACATCCATTAGACATGGCACTTGGAACTAGAACAGTCTACCCCAGCGAGCGAAATAAAGGGTTCAGTTCAACAAGAAGGCTGGGGCGTACAATGGCCAAAACATTGTGATAAATATAGCAACAACGATAAGGATTATAGTCAGAACAATGTAAATAGTGTACATAATACCTCATCTCAGAAATATAGACAGACTAGCAGTAGAGCCCGGCGTTGCCCGGGGATGTAACAGTAAGAGATAGATCAAGTATCGACCATCATAAAGACTGAAAAATAAAATTGACAAAGATTATTGTTTAAGGTTGACGGACACGCATGTCTTAAATAGTTTTTTTTTTACGAATTGGTCAAACCCAAACTCAAACAAAAACATTGTTTTCAATCGTTATGGGTCTCCCGATTGAATAGAATTTTATTATAAACAATTGTCTTGTAAATGGAATTGTTAAAGCATACTAAATGTAAAAAAAAGAAAAAAAAAATGTGCAAGACAATAAGAAACACTACCTGCCAAAAAAAAGTGAAGTTTTGTTGAAATCGGTTGAAAAATGTAGGAAATCCGATCCCATATATAAACAAAGACACACACACACAAACAACCTGGGTTTTATAATAAGTATAACTCGATATGAGATGCCCCCCTTTCATTCTCGCGATGCCTCTTAATCGTGTTTTCAAATTGATTATGTGCAAAAAACAATTGTGTTTTTCAATTTTTATGCTATCAGAACCACCGCAAGGTAATTTTACGTAGTCCTGTGAAGTTTTGTTGAAATCTGTTGAAAAATGTAGGAAATCCGATCCAATATATAAACGTACACACACACACACACACACACACACACACACACACACACACACACAACCTGGGTTTTATAATAAGTATGATTATTTGATAAAACTTTACAAATTTTTCCTTACATCATGTCAAATCTTATACCAGTGAATGTGTTCCTATTAAAACAACCTGAATTAAATAATTAAATAGAGGGTAAAAATAGAAAAAAAAAATACAGTATTTTAATGAGAGAGAGAGGAGGAAAAAAAAAACAATAGATGAAGCTTATTGGTTATCACTCATCAGAACTCAGTTGGGAAAAAAGAAGAAAAAAAATTATTTTCCTTGACTGATTTAAGATTTGTGAGGAGGGATATAGCCATTTCCCCCCCCTTTCTCCTTTCATATTAAACAATTGTAGTTGTTTTTCCTCTTTTTAATTATGTCCGTTCTGTTTGCTATAATTAAATTTTGTACCTTTAATAATCTCTTCAATGTTTTCACATAACGATCATAAAATAAGCAATAAGCAAAAAAAAAAAAAAAAGAAGCGAAAGTATTAGCAAGATTGTGTTTAAGAATGTCACGAAAAGAATCTAAGAAAAATGTAAAGGTACAAAATTTAATTATAGTAAACAGAACGGGCATAATTAAATAGAGGATAAAAATGGAAAACAACTATAGCAGTTTAATATGAGAGAGAGAGAGAGAGAGAGAGGGTGAGAAAGAGAGTGAGAGAGGGAGAAAGAGAAAGAGAAAGAGAGAAAAAGAGAGGGAGAGAGGGAGAAAGAGAGATAGACAGTGAGAGAGAGAAAGAGAGAGTGAGAGAGAGAGAGAGAGAGAGTGAGAGGGCGAGAAAGATAGAGCCAGAGAGTGAGAAAGAGAGAGAAAGAGAGTGAGAGAGGGAGAAAGTGAGAGAGAGAAGGCGAGAAAGAGTGAGCAAGAGAGTGAGAGAGGGAAAGAGAGAAAGAGAGAGAGAAAAGAGAAAGAGAGAGAAAGAGAGTGAGAGAAGGCGTGAAAGATAGAGCAAGAGAGTGAGAAAGAGAGAGAAAGAGAGAAAGAGAGAGAGAGAGAGAAGGAGTGTGAGAGAGTGAGAAAGAGCATGAGAGAAATTAAAGAGAGAGAGAGGGTGAGAAAGATAGCGAGAGAGAAAGAGAGAGAAAGAAAGAGATAGCAAGAGAGAGAGAGAGAGAGAGATAGATAGCAAGAGAGAGAGAGAGATAGATAGCAAGAGATAGCAAGAGAGAGAAAAATAGAGGAG